ACCAGAAGGCTGGCGGTTCAAACCCACCAGCCAATCCTCGGAAGGAAGGTTGGGCAATCCTACTTCCGTAGTGATACTGCCTCGGAAACCCAAGGGGGGGTCGCTATGAGTTGGGGCCAACTCGACGCCAAATAACAACAACAACAACAACAAAGTACAGAATGAATTTTCCCAAGTAAACAAAAATGAAACCTATAAATATGAGTGAATGAGAGTTAGCTTCAGTTGCTCTTACACAGCTGATTAGTTAACTTGGCAATTAGTTAACCAATTTAACTAGTTTGAACTTTAAAAATTCTAACCTATTGTTGAACCAGATTATTTAGGTAAGAAATATACCACAGTATGCCTAGATAGGGAGGGAGGGAGTGAAAGAAAAAAATAATTTCAATAGAATAATCTGATAAACAATTTGAAAATTAATAAAAATCACTTACCCATTTTGAAAAGAACTGTTTTGTGTTTCTGAATCATCACTATCACTGATGATAATAGTTTCTCCATCTACATTGCTGACGTGCCCATTAGCAAGACCATTTTGATGTGATGGAGGGAGGACTTCCAAAATCCTACACTGTAATCTGAAATAAAATCATTCATTTAAAAATGCAAATTATCTGTTATTTTACAATCAAACATTTCAGAACAGGCTGGTTATTTAGAGCCATTGAAAAGTTATTTTGTTTTGTAGAATCTATGGTCCGTTGATAAGAGGAATTTAATTTAAAATGATTTGTAACTTCCAATTTAAGCAAAGGCCAGGCGCAATTAAAATGTAAAATATTTTAAATGTAAAATATTTTAATTTCTTAAATTCCCTTAATCATAGTATTTTTTATTGTCACTGTAACTTTTGTTGTGATGTTCAACCTCTGGAAAGCTTCCTAGTTATTAACTCATCTCTACTATACTGGCTTCTCTTAACCTCTGCTCCCTCAGGATTTTATGGGCTGCAATTTCAGACTCACTCACCACAGTTAAAATATTCCTTAATTTCATATTTCTGCTGTGCCAATTTTCAGTGCTAGAAAAAAAAAATTCACCTGCTCTCTTCACATTCCTTTTTCCAACTTCTTTACTTTCTGCCATGAATCATGAATTCAAGGTTAGGCTCTCATGATGGCAACTATTTTAGTTTTGATACTGTTTTTTGTTGGTGCCCAAAACAAATTTTTAAAAATTTTCCCTCCCTTTTCAAATCCCAGTCCCAACCCTTTAATACTAGAAAATAAGAGAAGCTCCTGACTTGGGACCCTTGATGTCTTTCTCAACATCAAATATATCTTTCATTACTGTTCATATTATTCCTCTATCAGAGGAGTTCTCCTTCTGTCACTTTTCCTGTGTCTCCCTCTGCTAAGAGACATATTCTTCAGAATCCTGGAAAGCTTACATTCGTCTCTAGCTTTCTAGAAACCCCTGGACATAAACTTTTCTTTCTCCACATCCCCTAGAGTGGTGGTTGTGAGGATTTCTGAATTTGTAGCCAGCTGCTCTGAAGTGAGGTAGGTCTTGGAGACCCCCTCATTTGAGGCTGGTGTCTGAAGTGAGGGGAGTCTAGTGTAAACTATGCTAACTATCCACTTTTGGCTAAACTCTTTGTAGTGGTGATAGGTGCACAACTCTATAAATATACAAAAACCACCAAACTGTACATTTTAAATGGGTAAATTTTATGGAATGTGAAATATATTTCACTCAGTAAAGCTGTTTATTTTTTAAAAAAAGGACAAAGTTGTAAGTTGAAAGCAAGACCCAGGAGATATATCAAAAAGAGAGACAGCATTGCTGGAATTACATCCATAGCACCTCTACAACTCTTAGGCAAATCAAGGGAAGATGTTATTAACTAAGAATATCCTAAATGCATATATCTACGAATGGGCTAAATTCCTATTTTTTGAGGAAAAAATGGTTGAAGGTTACATAATTTATAACTATATCATTCATTTAGTGGGAGCCCTGGTGGCACACTGGTTAAGTGCTCAGCTGCTAACCAAAAGTTTGGTTGTTCAAATCCACCAGCACACTCCACAGAAGAAAGATGAAGCAGTCTGCTTCCATGAAGATTTACAGCCTTGGAAACCATACAGGGCAGTTCTATTATATCCTATAGGGTCTCTATGAGTCGGGACTGATTCAACATGACATGTTTGTTTTTTTGGCTTTGAATCATTCATTTGGTTGTCCCATTCCATTAACAAGTTTTGATATATCATGGACATCCATGGGACTGTCCACTCACCAACCCCCTTCTTCTAGGAACTTCATTCTTCCCATCCTCTGCCTTCTTCCACATAGCTACCATTAGAATGACCGTGTTCTTACAAGACCCTAACCAGAGTTAGCTAATACAAGAATGGGCACCTTTTTGCTGAGTCAATGTATCTTTTCTAAGATTTTAAAACTTGAGACCTAGAAGTGAAAAATTACTCCTTCTTCCATCATGAAATATGTAAGGTATAAAATTCTGGTGCTTCCAGAAGCCATGTTTCCTGCCATGTGGAAGAGGCTCGTGTGCATTGAGAGAGATAACAAAACCTTAAGAGAGGAGAGATGGCAGGAATACTAGAGGCAATCACCTCTTTTTTTCTTGTTCTTCCTCACACTTAGCTTGAATCTTGCCCATCTCAGGTTTGGTTCTTTGACATTTCCTTCGAGTCTAATAAACTCATTTCTCTCTCTCTCTCTCATTGGCTTATATTCATTGAAAATAAATATGTCACTTTTAGCCAAAATAAACAGAATCATAACATTCTAGAAAGATAAATAGTATGTCTAGTGCTAACTCATTTTGGGAAGCTGGTAGATTTTTACAATATCATAGCACTTGTTTCATTAGTGTACATTCCAGTATATGCTTATATTCTGCTTTAGGAAAAGAACATCTTTAGTATTCCCTACAATACCTAATGGAATCCCTGGGTGCTGCAAATGGTTAACACACTTGGTTGCTAACCAAAAGGTTGGTGGTTCAAGTCCACACAGAGGTGCCTCAAAAGGCCGGCCTGGTGATCTACATCTGAAAAAAATCGGCCATTGAAAACCCTATGGAATGCAGACCTCCTCTGTTATACGCGGGGTCACCATGAGACTGAATCAACTTGACAATAACTGGTTTTAAGGCTGCTGTTAGGCACACAGAAAATCAAGACCATGAGTTTCTGCCTAGTAACAAAGTAAAAAACAACTGGTTCCACAAGTTTAAGAATCAACAAAAGGTAGGCTGTGTGCATGAATACAAAACTCTCAAGGCATTTTAGCTTTACCTTTTACTCATTTTCTCTCAGTGTGAGACTGTTAAAGTTCAATTAAGCACACCATAATCTTGGTTCTTTTCAATCTGTTCTTAAAGAAGAGAAAGGAAATTGTGTTGTTTGTTCTAACAGTAAAGCTTGAAAAAGCTCAATCACGAAGCCTGCAATGGTAGCAAACATAAATGGTGTCAAAAAAACTTCAGGCTGACTTTCACACTGGCTGGTGAATATAAACCAGTATTTCTAAAGAAGTACAACTACAGGAAGTCATATCAAAACTTGTTGGTGAAAATTTAATCTTATTGATAAAAGGCTCTGTAATTTAGTGACATGAATTACACAAAAAATATGAAAGAAAAAAATTGATCCTCTGTTGAGGGACTTAACTGTCTCATAATGTTATGTGATGTCATCATAATATTACACAGGCTTCCAGAAGGCAATCAAGGAAGATTTTCAGTGAACTTTATGACAACTTTCTTCAAAATCAGAAAAAGAGATCATCTTTACTGGCAGAGCCCTGGTGAGTTCCCATAGGTGGTAATGCCCATGAAGGAGAAACAAAGTTAACGGGTCCACCCTCAGCCCAGGTAGGGTTGGTGCAGTGCCTAAAGTGGTCTGACAGTCCACTGATGAGCAACACGGATACAATAATTTAAGGATTAATTTATTTAAAACCAACAGAAATAAAATTCCCTGACAAAGGAAGAAAGGAGAAGAAACTGGTATAGCATAGGGACCTGGAAAATGTAGTAAATATTTAACATATAAGTAATAGTATTTATCATCAATACTACTATTAACTTGATACCACATCTAAACCACAGGTGGCCATTCCTTGCCAATCAAGGCTGGTCACCTCAACAGAGGTCAGCTTGACTTACTCAGGATGTCAAGTCAATACCTTCCAACAAATCTCCAAAGAGACTTAGTCTGTCTTTCAAATCTACTTGCTACTACTTTTTGGTTTAGGGAGTCCAAAGAAGACTGAATATTAAAAAAAAAAAAAAAAAAAAAGTTAGAGAGTAATGAATTAAGACCCAGCTATAAGGTCTTTAAGAGTACAAAAACTTTACAAAATAAAGTTGTGCTCCATATTTGAGGGTATAATAGATATTGGAGATCAAAAGATGGTCCTTATTAGAGTACCTACATACTAAAAGCATGTAAGTTATGAGAATGAAGTTCAGAGTCAGAGAAGTTAAATCATTTGCTCGAGGTCACACAATCACTAACAGTATAGCCAAAATTTTGCTGAAACTCATATACTTTCTAATCTTCCACTCTACCACTAAAGTTGAAGGGGAATAGCAGCACTATTTTGACCCAAAGTGACCTCTAAGCCTACGCAGTAGAGATGCTCCTGTCAAAGTGCTAGCAATTTAAACACGTGTCAAAATGAAAGCAATTCCGTGGAAGAGTAGCAAGCATTGAATGTTTATTATAAGTGATAAGCTAGACATGAAAATAGTCTTTCATGTAGAATATTTTGGATTGGCATTTACCGCATTCAAAAAAGTTTTTTCTTAATAGTCATAGTTCAATTTATATCTCAAAATACAGATTCATTAAGACAAAAAGCAAAGTATAAGACATTCTAGAACTAACATAAATACAGAATTTTTTACATTGGGTTAGAAGGTGAACAATTCACAGCAAAAGGAAAGGAGACTAGAATCCTAGGGAAAACTCACTCCATCAGGGAAAAGACTTAAAATATGCTGAATCTATGGCAGATTTCACACCTGCCCCTCCCCCTGCTGCCTTATTAAGCTCTTATTTTCTTGCAATACAGGTGCAAGAACATTTATAAAAAATGCTGCCCTTGGATAATGACTTCAACATATAGGCAGGGAACAAAATGAACCTGATTAATTTGAAGTTTAAAAAAAAACCCCTCAAATTAAAGGGTTATGTGATATCTCATTTTAAGTGGAGAAAACCAGACCATTAAATAAGCCTGCTACTTCAAACAAAAAGACCGAATTATGATGATTACTTGTCAGTGGGAAGACAGAGGTCAGAAGAAGGTTACTTTATAACTTCTTATAACTTCAACACATTGATCAGAGTTTTTCAAATTGTTCTGAGACTATGAACCAGGGAACCAGGTCTTATTATTTCTCTAATTGATATGTGAACTTTTGTAACTATCACAAGAAATCATTAGATTCTTACTGAAAGCTAAATCCATTATTAAAACAGATATACAATATAACAGAAGGCTGGCGGTTCAAACCCACCAGCCACTCCTCGGAAGGAAGATGAGGCAATCTACTTCCGTAGTGATACTGCCTAGGAAACCCAAGGAGGGGTCGCTATGA